CATTTAAATAATCCCAATGTTTTACATAACCATTCAGATTTCAGGCTTCTTTTGGGTATAAAAAATTGGAAGATCTGGCTATACTGGCTGATATTTTTCTCTTGGCAACACCGTATTATGGCTGAATTATGGCTGTTTCTTTAGTTGGAACTTGTGATTTACAGTTTGACTCTCTTACAACCCTATTTTATTACATTGAACCTTTACCCTCATTTAAAATGTTACCTGTCTCTGCCTCGGCCATGAAAAGTATTTGATATGTGACCTTGCTGTCTCATTTCACAGATACAAAACAGAGAGGGAAGCAGACAGCAGGTTAGGAGCCACACCCACCCTGTAATTCCCACTGGGCCACCTGCTCATGAATAGAACCCAGTGGGGGAAGAGAGAGAAAGGTCCCCACGGAGGAGTGATGCGGTTCAAGCAGAGTCCGGAGGGGAGGTGAACAGTGAAAATGAAAACAGTAACTGCTGCCACCCAATTATAGATACATCAGAACCGCGCACACCCATGAATGAAAAATGGGGAACCTTAAAGTAAACACCTTACAGGGAACTTAGAGAGAATGAATAAATCCTTGATTAGAAGACCACTGGTTAGCAGTCAAAAGAAAGAAAGTAACTTCAATGACCCCTGCAAGTTTGGGTTGTCTATAAACTCATTCTTTAAGCATTGAAAAGGTGGTGATGAGGCCAGGTGATTAGCGAGACAAGGTAGCAAGTCAGCTAGAAATTGAATGGTTTATTACCCGAAGAAATCAGCAGAATGCTTTTCTGGGTACCTATTAAATGGCTGTCAGGCACACTTCCTATCAGAACATGGAATCATTTGGTGAAAGGTGATGGAGGAGGAGTGGAGTGATTCACAAGGAGGAAGCAACGGGGTTTTTTTTTTTCTTATCCCTATGAAGATAAATGGGAGTATAAATGGTGGGACAGTCTTCTCGATGATATATTAGTGATAGCAAGTCTTTATTTTGAGCTCACTCTGTGCCGGATATGCACTAAGAAGTTGACACGCACATTACATCCTTCAGCATTACTGACATCATTACTATTGTCATGCCCATTTTACAGGTGAGGAAACTGAGGTCCAGAAAGATCAGGTAATTTTCCAGGTCTATTTAGCTCATAAACGACAGAGCCAGGATTCAAATGCAGGCTCTCAATCTGCCTGTTAGCACTGTCTTCCCACTTAACCACCAAGTTGCTCCACTGCCCTCTACCCCCAGACCCAGATGTGGCTTGGCCTCATGATGGATGCCTGACATGCTTTGGGATTAATCTGAAACAGGGATTCATATGCACCATTTTGGCTGGATGGCATGTAAGAAATTTTAAATAGCTGACATTTTAATTTCTGGCAGGTAACAAGCTTGTTTCAGAGAGTCACTAAACTTGAGGATTGGCAGGTTGTCAATGAACCTTCATGCTAAGAACATATATAAATGACTTCAGGGACACTTGTAGTCTGGCAGCTCAGATTTCCATCATGGGAATGTTGGTACAGTCTGTAATAGGATAGATTCCTGAAGGCTTAAGCAAATGACTTTTTCCTCTTCTCCCTCCCCCTCCTCCTCTTGCTCCTCCTCCTTCTCCTGTTCCTCTTTTGCCTCCTCCTCCTCCTCCTCCTTCTCCTCCTCCTTTTAGCCAGAACAAACCTCAAAAAAATGCATCTTACACCAATGTCCAATAGAAGTACATGCAACTGAAACGAAAGTTTCTTGAAACACATACCCTTAATATATGTGATTGTCCTAAAATTAGGGATTGTTTGGAAATTAGAGAAAAATGATTACTAGGGCTCCCCCATCTGAACACAGCAACCATGATAGTTTTTATCATTCCTTACCTGCTCTCTATGCTTCCGCCTACCTCCATTGTCGTGTGGCCAGGAGATAGGCTGTGAACCAGTCTGTCTGGTTACAGAACCACAGGATCTCCTGAGTAGAGAGCAATTTCCTTGAGGTATAAATTTATTTGTTCAAAGCATTTGGACATTTACGTAGTACTTGGTCTTTAGATAGAATGTTGACTGATTTTTATTGAACTTGCTATTATTTTCATTAAGCATTTTTCCTCATTAAAGAATCACACATATGAATTTTGGAAAATCCAGGCAAGTACAAAGAAGAAAATGACATTTATAATTCAACTATTCCAAGATAAACATAATGAACAATTCAGTGTATTTCCTTTATATAATTTCTAGGCAAGTATAGTTTTATAATGTTGCTATAATATTCTGTGTACTATTTTATTTAAAATATATTTTAATATATGTATTTTTATTGATTTCGGAGAGGAAGGGGGAGGGAGAGATAGAAACATCCAATGATGAAAGGGAATCATTGCTTGGCTACCTCCTGCACGCCGCCGCTCCCCCCCCCGCCCCATGGAGCCTGCAACTCGGGCATGCGCCCTGACTGGGAATCAAACTGTGACCTCCTGGTTCATAGGTTGACGCTCAATCACTGAGCCACACTGGCCAGGCCTGTGTACTATTTTAGATTCTGGGTTTTTTAAAGTTACCTTATACCATAGGCATTGTCACTTATTAAAATCCTTTAACAAATACCATTTAAATTTGTTTTGCTATTGGCAATTTAGGCAGTTTCCAGTTTTATATATTTATTTTGTGTGTGTGTGTGTGTTACTATAAAGACCTGCAGTAAACATCTAATGCTCAAATATGTACCTTCATATTAAGGCACCGCCTTAAAAAATATTTTAAAAGTAGACTTACTGGGTATATAGGCATGGGCACATTTGGACACTTGAGACTGACCGCTGAGTCACCTTTGGGGAAGATTGGAATCCTAGAGAAGGCCATTGATTTCAAGATGAGAGGGGGTTAGTTATTCAACATCTACATGTGAGGAGTCTCAAAAGATAGGAGCCGAGACTGGCAGTGTCAGACTGAGAATCTGGGTTCCTGAAGAGGTAGGTGAGAGTGGAGAGCCAGGGCAGGAGGTGATGTGCTCCCTGACAGGAAGAAAATAAATCAGCTGAGGGTGGGTGTGACCAAGTTTGTGCCTATGGGTGTCCAGGTGTGGGAGGAGCTTGGAAATCCCACAGAACGGTGTTTGTCCTCTTGGCTTTTTTTCTGAGAGTTAGGGAGTGAGGATGGAAATGGGGAATATGAGGGATTTGGGTGGTGACCTGGAATAACCTGTGTAGGAAATAAAAGGGGGTTTTGCTTAGTGACCCTTTACATGAAGAGGTATCTGGAAAGTTTCTAAGTAACACTGGTGATTCAGCTGAGCTGGACCAGCATAGATTTATGGTTGTACCAATCGACAAAGTGCCTGCTGTCTCAATAGAGAAGCAAAGACAAGAGTGGAGGGGCTTGTCTGGGCTGGGAATTTGCAGCGGTGGCAGAAGTTGGAAAAGGGGCAAAGTTGGTAAGGACCCTAGCAATAGGGTCCTTTAAGTGATGTATCATGGGGTCTGACCACTAGAGGAAGGGCCTGTCAGGTTGATGGGATTCGGGGAAAGGGACATAGTCTGTGTATTTTTATTTGCAGCTCGGATCCTGAAATATAAGCTAGTTCTGAAAAGGGGGTGTTCATGGTGTGACAGTGTTGGGACACGAAAGAGTCCTGGATACCCCTCTTCTTGGAAGCTGGTTGTGGGTCCACTACATGGATTCAGGTCAGGAGCAGGGAGATTTTCAAACATTAAGAACCAAAGCTGCTATTGGAGGCGTTCGTTGTTAATCTTCAACTGGAAGGAAGATGCTAGTTGGTGGGAATGCAGATTGGTGCAGCCACTATGAAAAATAGTATGGAGTTTACTCACAAGATTAAAAGTGGGTCTGCCTTATGACCCAGTGATTTCACGTTTGGGGGTTTATCCAAAGAAACCCAAAATACTAATTTCAAAAGGTATAGGCCTCCCTATGTTCATTGCAGTGTTTTTTATAATAGCCAAAACACAGAAGCAACCTAAGTGCCTATCAACAGACCAGTGGATAAAAATGCTGTAGTACATTTACACAATGGAATGTTACTCAGCCATAAAAAAAGAATGAAATCTTACCATTTGTGACAGTATGAATAGACCTAGAGGGTATTATGTTCAGTCAAATAAGTGAGTCAGAGAAAGACGAATTCCATGATTTCATTTATATGTGGAATCCAAAGAACAAATACATGAACAAACAAAATGGCAACAGACTCATAGATACAGAGAGCAAACTGGTGGTTGCCAGAGGGAAGGGGGTTAGGGGGTGGGTGAAAGAGGTGAAGGGATTAAGAAGTACTAATTGATAATTACAGAGTAGTCACAGGGTTATAAAGTATAGCATAGAGAATATAGTCAATAATATTGTAATAACTATGTTTGGCTCCAGGTGGGGTACTGGAACTATCCTGGGAACACTATGTAAAATTTATGATTGTCTAACCACAAGGTGTACACCTGAAACCAATACAAAATAAAATTGAGAGAAAAAATAAATATAAAAAGGAAGGAAGATGCTAATTAATACTGGCTCGGAGCAGCAGCCCAAATACGTAGGTACTGGTCTGCTTTGTGCTTCCTTCAAAGGCTTAATGGCACCTCCCTAGACATGCTTCAGAAATATATGGTGAAGAAAACAGCCTGTTTCTGCTCTGGATCAAGGTGAGAATTTTGGGCTGTGCCCAGTAAGGTCAAGCATTGTTGTAGGGGGTACTCAGGACAAGGAGTGCTTGGATTAACTTTACGTGTTTGGATCTGAGGGATCATGTGGGGCAGAACCAGACCCCTCAAAAGGGCTGCTGACATATGTGGTTCCTTCTGGGACAGGGATGGGAGAAAGTGGTGCAGTGGGATGCCCAGTTGAGGCCAGAGCATTTTGGCCAAATGTAAGAAGTCAAGCTGGCTCGATCAACTTCATTGGATTTTCTGGTTATTTCTGGAGCTGGTGTTTGCAGGTATTACCAGTCTCTCCATTACCCGTTTCTTCTCAGCGACATTATTGAAAGGAAATGTCCAGTGGTTGTTTTCTGAAGTCAGATGAAGTTTGTTGATGACGTCAACTCGAATGTAACCTGGCTCTTTGTAATTATTGAAGAAAGCCCACCCAATTGCCTTTTTTCCTGCTCTCAAGCGAATGCTAATCAAAAATGGCATTTGATTAACCTCTTGAAACATCTGCCTTGAAGGACTAAGTTGATAAATTGGATGAAATCAATTGCTGGAGGTGATGACTCTTGTGAATCACGGGGATTCATTCTGCCCAGTCTCTCGAGCTGTTAAATCTGGGGGAGATGTAACAGACACCATGCACCAGAACAGGACCTGAGACATCCAAGTCTTTCAACACTGTCTCATGCAGTGCAATTGCTGGATAAACTTGAACCTATTTGTTGCTTCTTTTGAATATGGAATGCATTTTTATATTTTGTATGGGCTCATGGATACGTGTATTATGTCCCTGATTATCCTTTCCCTTTGAATTTGTTGTTAGAATGAAAAAAAATACTCCCTGTTTATTGTTCTCCATTGTTGATCCAAGTTTAAAAAGATAGGCACCTGTTCTTGAGTGAAGGTTGCAAATAGAGGAACTAGAAAGTGTTCTATAATTCAACTCAGCAATAGTTATAGCCTCTCGCTGGGACTTTGGCATTGGTCTGAGTGCCCCAAATTAAAAGGAACATAAAGCCTATGGAGAAATATGGAAGAATTGCAACCGTGATGACTTTGACATCTTAAAATAGAACCAAGAAGGAGAAGACATGAAACCAGGGTTATTTCTCTGGAAGGAAAAGATTCAGGCTATACGTAAAGGCTATCTTCAAATTTTCCAAGTTACCTGTTATTCGAAGGATAGTGATGTGTCTCTTTATACACTTTCTGGATAAAATCAGGGAAAATCCATTTAATTTTAACTGATTTAGATTAAACTGATTTTGAAGAGATTAGATTAAATGGGAAGAAGAAAACTTTCTGTCAGTAAATGCAAAGTGAACATTAAGAAAATGTGTGGATTTCATTTCTCTAACAAAAATCTGCTTATTCACCAAACATCAGACGGAATACTCTTATCCATTGGTGATTATCCAAAAAGGGGCTTGTTTTTAAGATTCTGAGGTTTTATTCTATCACCATTCTGCTTTGTACTTTTAGAATGCCACTTTTATGATTATACTAGAGGCCCAGTACACAAATTTGTGCATGGGTGGAGTCCCTCGGCCTGGCTGGCGATTGGGGTCGATGGGGGTCACCTAGCCCAGTCCTGGTCAGGCCGGCCTGCCTCGGGGAGGGATTGCAGGAGGTTGGCTGGCCACGGGAGGTTGACTGTGGGAGCACACTGACCACCAGGGGGGAGCTCCTGCATTGAGCGTCTGCCCCCTGGTGGTCAGTGAACATCATAGCGACTAGCTGGTCATACCATTGTCTGGTCATAATGGTCGCTTACGCTTTTATATATATAGATATCCTTAGAAGCAAAAACACCTTTCTTAATATGATTCTTAGAAAATAGTAATTGTGTTGCTTTATTGGATTACCTATACCTGCTCTGATAGTGAAATTGTTATTTAAGAAAATGCTGTGTTCTAAGTAAATATTTAAAATTCCAGACTGAGGGTAATTTTTCTTAAAGCTAGTAGGCATATAGAGCTCTGTAACTTGCTTTTTCTTTATTTGCCATGTCTTGGTCTTCAAGACCTTGTTAAAACATATGTTTCCTTTCTAAGGCAGAGATAGTTTATTAAGAAGACCTCAAATTCTATAGGTTGGGGATAGGGGAAGCTCTGAGGAAAGCCTGGTTTCTTTTGGCCCTTAGACATTACCACCTATTGAGTTTGTATGACTTATGCCATGATGTTCAGAGCCAAACCTTTTCAATAAAAGGAGTTAAATATTGTATTTGTAAACAGTTTTAAAAATTAACTATTTTAGTTCTCAGTATACAGGGTGTCCCCCCACCCCCCATGTATACACTATTAAAATCTGATAACTAATTTCATATTTCTTTTCAGATCTAACCCATTGGAATTAATAATTATTCTAAGTGTGTATATGTTTTTTGGGACACCCTGTATTGAGTGCTGGAGTGTCTAAGAGAGTATATTTCAGTGCTTTCATTACACACACAAAAATGGTAACTATGTGAGTTGATATGTTAATTAGCTTGACTGTAGTAATCACTTCACTACGCACATGTATTAATCATGTTGTACACCTTAAGTATGTACAACTTTTATTTAAAATGACAGTATATGGCCCAGTTGGTGTAGCTCAGTGGTTGAGCGTCGACCCAGGAATCAAGAGGCCACCAATTCAATTCCTGATCAGGGCAGATGCCTGGGTTGCAGGCTTAATCCCCTGTGGGGGGCATGCAGGAGGCAGCCAATCAATTATGTTTCTCTCTCATTAACATTTCTATCTCTCTATCCCTCTCCCTTCCTTTCTGTCTAAGAAATCAATTACATTTGTAATACCTTAACCAATAAAGAAATTAAAGATTAAAAAAATCAATTAAAAAACCATAAAAATATTTTTTTAAAATATATTTTATTGATTTTCTACAGAGAGGAAGGGAGAGGGACAGAGAGTTAGAAACATCGATGAGAGAGAAACATCTATCAGCTGCCAAGGTACACAACCAAGGTACATGCCCTTGACTGGAATCAAACCCGGGACCCTTGAGTTCGCAGGCCGACGCTCTATCCACTGAGCCAAACCAGTCAGGGCCATAAAAATATTTTAATGACAAAATATGGTCTCCTTCTCACTCTCACCCCTTGCTTCATCCTCATTTCTTTCCCTTACTTCTTTATTTCTCTATCATTGTGTGTCTATAGTAGTTATATGGAACTAGGATATAACTTTTAAAGTAAACTCTTCCACTGTTCTTAGCATTTTCTTTTTGCTTGTGAAGGACAAATTTAATGTGTTCTTAAAAGAATTATGTACTTCCTTGATATATATTTCTCCCTATCCTGCATTTGTGACTCATAAGAGGAATTTTAAAAATAACTTATCTTTCCCCTATAATATAAATAAATTATGTGGTGTCTACATTTCTTTGTTTCTCTTATGGGCTAAAGGTAATTTCAGAGAGGGCATTGTTTTCAGGCTGGGAAGCCTTTTTTCATTGGTTCAGAATTATAATCCTTTGTACACCCGGCCACTGAACATTTGTGTCTACATAGAATGATTTGGTTGACCAAGGTCTGTTTTTTCTCTGTCCCTTCTTTGTTATAGATACATTTCATATTGCTTTTCAGTCGACAAGGGAAATTACGGCTGCAGAAATGGTACACAACTCTCTCTGACAAGGAAAGGAAGAAGATCACCCGGGAGGTTGTTCAGATTGTGCTCTCTCGTGGTCAGAGGATGAGCAGTTTTATCGACTGGAAGGAACTAAAACTTGTTTATAAAAGGTGTGAGTAACTTTATGAGAACTGAATTTATTTCTTGTTGCTGCTTTGGTTTGTTTAATTCTGAGCATTTTAGGTCACAACACCAATTTCATCATTTACTGAAATCTTTAGACTGGAGCCCAAATAACTGTACCCATAGACTAACTAGGAAAGAATGCTCATTTATTGAAAGGCCTTTGATGTGCCAGGAGAGAGTCTAGGGACTTAATTTGCAGGTTGATAATGCATGCTGGCATTCAAGACATGCCTTATGAGCACCTACTGTATTCCCAGCACTGTCCTAGTGGTTGCGGATACAGTAGTAAATGGGACAGGGGA